TTAAATAATGAAACATCGTCTGGTCTTATACCATCTTTATATTTACAAAAATAGATATATGTAAATGACACTTTCCAGGTAAACCATTTTGCAGCAGTATCTGTTTGGATAGCCCCATCCTCCCTTGCTTTAGAATATCTGTTGGTTGCTGTGTACTTGAAAATTACCAGGTTTAGAGAATTGGTGTTTTGGGCCCAGCTGGGGTTTCAGAGACACCCTCTATGTCTCCTCCTCCTCCTCCTCCTCAAAGTGCTATTGAAAAACTTCTTCAAGGAGAAACTGTCTTGCTCTGGGTCTTTGTTAGGAATCCCAGCCCCCATCCCAGCCCTGTGTGACTGAGGATTTGCTGCTCCTGTCTACTGCATCTCTGACCCTGGGAGCTTTCTGAGATCCTTCAAACATATGCTCTTGCTCAATGTTCTCAGCGGCCACTGAGTTACTGATCTTATGATACAGAACTTGTGGTTTATAAGGTAGGTTCTCCAGACTGCAAACCTGTCAGTGTTGCGATTTCTAGTGTTTTCCAAGGGGGAAGGAAATGACTCTAGTGAGGGTAGAACCCAATCTCTCAAAATCTCTCAGACTTGGTCTGCCTTCTTCAGTGTCCTGGTAATCTTGAGGGAAACTTCTTCACCAGGAGTTAGACTGGTCTGGGGCACAGTTTTCTGTGATTTGGAATTGACTTGATGGCAACTATGTAGTTCATTTGTAATCATGGTTTACTGTTGAGGGACATGTATGACATGGTTGCACCTTCTAAAAATCACAAAGCAAGGCAATAAAGAGGATTGGTGAAAATTTATGCTAAGAGTGGGGTCAAATTAGAAAGTGTGCTCTCTTCATGAATGTGTAAGACAAAGTCTAGCTGTTAGGACAGTGTTGCTTTTATAATTAACATTAAGCTCCTAACTGATCTTTTAACCCCACCTTCTTCCCTGGACTAAAACAACTCATCCTTTACCATTTGCTTAGGAAAAGTAACTAAGCAATGAATCTTTGCATTCAGTATATGTGTGCCTTGACAGTTTCAAGACTTCTTTGCAG